TAGCGGCCGGCGTCCTGTTCCCCCTGCGCGCCGTCCGGCGGGTGACATTATTACGGGGGGGCGCGGAGGTGTCCATCAGCACCCACGCACCCTTCGGGTTGGGTTCAGGTCCCACCTTCACCGTCCCCTTACGCCACGTCTCCTGTCGGGCTCATCGCTCCGAGGTACCGGCTGCCCTCCCCCTCAAGGTGAAGGGACGCCCCTTCTTCTTCCTCCTGGACAAACGGGGGCAACTCTGCAACCCCCGCCTCTTCGACCTCACCGTCGGCGCCTACCGCAACCTCTAGGGCTTTTTTTTTTGGGGTGGTGGAGGAAGCCAGGATTGGTGTCATCCCCCCTCCTCTCCGGGCTTTGTCACCTCTAAATAAACCCCTGAGCTGACCGCGCGTCCGGCTGCTTTGTGGGGAGGGGGACAGAGGGACACACGGACGCGCAGCCCCCGTCGGTTTTGGGCGCTGTGTTGGGGTGGCGCCGCTGGTTCGGGGCTTCTTGGGGCCACCATGGCGCTGCAGGTGCTTGTCCATGGAGGGAGCGCAGCCCTGCTTCCTCCTCTCTCGTCCTCTTCTTCCTCCTCCTCTCTCCTCCTCTTCCTCCCCTCTAGTCCTCGTTTACCGCTTTTTTTCCTTCCTCTCTCATTCTCTTCGTCCCCTTCTCTCATCCTCCTTTTCCTCTTCCTTCTCCCCCGTCTCGTCCTCTTCTTCTTCTTCATCGAGCCCAGGACTGAGCTCTACCTCAACCCTGACACCTTTGGCTGCAGTTTTGGGGCATTTTGAAGTCATTTTGGGGCTGTTCCGTCTTCACCCTTCTCCCCCCTCTTCCGCCAGAGTGGCCTGGGAAAAAAAAAACCTTGTGGGTTGAGAGAAACCTCGTGGGTTAATAGAACGAGATCAGAAAAGGAAAACAATAATAATAATAAATAATAATAAACATAAGGGAAGCTGGGGGGGATGTCCTTGGAAAATATAAACATCGCCTAGCAACACCTGAGCCACTACGCTTTACTGATGATCCTTCCCCAGCAAATCTGAGATGCAGCAGCCGCTCGAAAGAAAATTAACTCCGTCCCAGCTGAAAACCGGACGTTTTCCACCCCTTTTCTTCTACCCACATGACCACGGTGTGGGGCAATGCGGCTGCATTTGGAAGCAATTAACGTCTGC